CTGCGGGTAGGGAGCAGGGTTTTCTGAGAGGCAGATGGAGATTTGCCCACCGGAATTTTGAAGAAGCTGGTGTTCTTGAGGAGAAGCATGGACTTGAGGAAGAGAAGTAAGGTCAGACTGGAGATAGCATCTCAGAGCTCCAGACATTCCACTAGAGGCTCTACCTTTAATGTAGGGCCCTCTCTATTTATTCAGTAGAACAAGATAGAGTGTATGTGTGGGGAGAGAGAGGAGACCCAGCCACGACGTTCTCCATCCTTCACTCTATCCTGCCATGGTAGGCAGAATAGCAGCTCTGCAAAATGTCCGTGTGCTATAATCCCTGGAACCCGTGAATGTGACATGCTCATGTCAAACAGGGATTGTGTTCAGAAATGGAATTAAGGTTACTAATACATTGCCTTTAAAATAGGGAGTTATCCTGAGTTATCAGGGTGGGCTCAATGTAATCACAAGGGAGGAAGGAGGAGGCAGGAGAGGGAGAACCAGAGAAATGGCAGCATGAGGAGGACTTGGCCTGATACTGTGAACTTTGAAGATGGACGAAGAGGTCATGAGCCAAGGAAAGTGGGTGGCCTCTGGAAGCTGGGAAAGGCAAGGAAATAGATTCTTCTCTAGAGCCTTCAGAAAGGAATGCAAGCCTGCTGACACCTTGATTTTAGTCCAGTGAGACCCATGTTGGATTTCAATTCTACAGAACTGTACAATGAGAAATTTGTGCTGCTTTAAGCCACTAAATTTATGATAATTTATTACAGCAGCCATAGGAAACAAATACACTGGGCCACCTGGAGGAGCCACATTTAGGTGACATTCCAGCTTACTGCCAGTATCAACCTCCAGGCATGTGATGACACCAGACCTGTGAGATAATTCCAGTCACTCCAGTCTCTGAGTTTCCCAGCTGAGGCCCCAGAGAGAAGCTGTACGCAGTTGGCCCTGCCCAAATTCCTGACTCACAAAATATATATAAGTATAATAAAAGGATTGTTTTTATGCCACTGAGCTTTGGGGTGGTTTGTCTGGCAGCACAGTAACTGGAACAGCCACCTCTTCCAGCCTTGAACTTGAACCAGATGGAACTGGGGAAAACTGCACACGCTGCTGAACCCAGAGCTCCCATTCCATCATTAGTATTATTTTTAACTGAACCCTGAACTGAACAGAAGGGAACACTGCTGAAATTGAAACTGAACTTGTATATTTTTTTAAGCTGTTGAACTAGAGTATTCAAATATTCTTGAGACAGAGACCATCACAGAGAGAATTCTACCTTAACCCCTTCACTCTGTGTATTTTCATTTGCCTGAGGTCACGTGCTCATGGCAGAGCTGAGAGATTCATAATCTTTATAAACAGCCAGCGTTGACCCTCTCTACCCTCCTTCCTTTCCCTTGTCAAAGTGTGCTGAATGAAGGAAGGATTAAGCTGCCCCATGAGATGTAAATTTCCCACCATCCAAGGACAGGGAGTCCCGGCCTGAACTGGATTCCTTGGGGGGTCCCCCAGTGGAAGCTTCATGTCTCTGGCTGAGAAATTGGAACTTTCCATCAAGGCCAGTGATCCTCCGTATTGGAGCAGCCCGGCTGGGGTGTGTCAGGATCCAGGTGGCCTTCATCTCATCTGGATCAGGCCGGCACAGTTTGTGGCACACCCCCACAGCAAGGGGGGGACTGAGGAAACTTGGGGCCCCTGGGAGACGTTCATCTTTCCAAAGCTTTATCATTTTTTCCATAACACTACCCTCCCTTCAAGGTGGAAAGTCCCAGCTGTCAGCTGAGGATACTCTCAATGTGCTTTTGTTTTCCACCCTGCCCCCAGTCCAGGCAGCAGGGTGCTGGGCAAAGGACACCTCCCTTTTTTACCAGGCTGCTCCAGACTTGCTGTACCGCCAGCGAAATAGAGACGAGCCCTAAACACCATGGGACTAGATTTCTCTGGTTCAAATCTTGGCTCTGCTATTTGCTAAGTGCAATCTTGGCAGGGTATTGATCCTCTCTATGGTATAGTCTCTCCATCTGAAAACTGGCACGGTGATAATACTGACCAGTTTTGAGGATAAGTATATGAAAAGTGCTTAGCATGGCACCTGATATATAGTAAGAGTGATGTAACTGTTTGCTGTTATTATTACATGACCTTGGGCAATTCTCCTTTCTCTGGGCCTCAGTGTCCTCAATTGCACAACGAAGACAGCAGTTTCTACCCGATCTGAGAGTGAATCCTGACTACCCTTTCCTGCTGTGTGGTCTTGGACACATTTTTTGGGTTCTTTTAGCCTCAATGTGCTCATCGGTTAAGTGTTACCTATTAAGTAGATGGTTGTGGTGACGAGATGAGAAAATGTGTAGCAAGCATTTAGCATGGGGCCGTGCACACAGAAAGAGCTAAAACAAAGTTAGCTTTTTTTTTTTGGTTTGTTTTTATGGGTGAGAAAGAACTTTCTAAACTGTCATTGGCTGTGGGTCCCTGGGAGGAATATTGTGGTTTTCTCACATGCTTTCCCAGCCATGCCTTATTCATAGACTCCTAGAATAAAGAGGTCAGGATTGGAAGGGCCATATTACAGACTGGCTAATTAACCCATTCAACAAATATTCACTGATTACCTATCACGAACCAGGCATTGTTGTAGGTGCTCAGGAGAGAGCAGTACTGAGGGCCCTGCCCTCAGAGAGCTTTCATTCCTATGGGACAGGCAGACAGTAAACTTGAGTGCATGAATACACGATACAAGTCCAGATTCAATCCCTTTATTTTACAGATCAGGAAACTGAAGCCCAAGAGGGGAAGACATTTTCCTCAAGTTCTCCAGCGTCATAGTAGGGCAAAGACTTCGAGCAAGTCTTCAGTCTCAGAATACCTAACCCTTAACAAACCCTGGTTTCCCCAAGGCCTTACTATATGCTACTAGCAGGAATCAACATTTATGGAATCTTCCTAGATGTAGGAACGGTTTTAAGTACTTTACACATTGTAAGTCACTAAATTCTCACATCAACCTTGAGGGAGGGAATTGTCATGAATCCTATTTTACAAATGGAGAAACTAAGGCACACAGAGGTAGAGGGGAGCAGAGTTTGAACACAGACCCTCTGGTTCAGGGCTCATGACTTCAACTCTGGTGCTGTCCTGCTGTTTGTCTGCATACTCTTCCCCCCAAACCTTGGTCTGCACTCCCCAACCCCCACCCAATCCTGGTCTCAATGATTTCTTTCACATTCTGAGGAGCCTCAGGTAAGCCCTCTTCCTCTCTGGCCCTCAGTTTCCCCATCTGTGAATTGAGTGGATTGGATTGTCTTCAGAGCCCTCCATGACCACCCTGATTTTTAGCTCCTTTTACATTTGTAATTATTTTATTCGCTTACTTGTTTTCCAGTCTGCTTCCCCCCAGACTGTCAGTTCCAAGGGCAGCGTCCTCCTCATTCTATTCACCACTATCTCCCCAGAGCCTGGCACTGTGCCCTGCACTTAGTAGGCCCTTGATAAATATTTGTGGATGAAGAAAGAAATGATAAAATAGTCCTAACTTTTCTCAGAAATAGCTCCTGTGCTCTCTCCCTGGCCCCTCTTCCTTTCTCAGCCTGTGGGGCCCCCCTCTCTCCCTCCCTTCTTCTCTCCCTCCTTCTCACCTCCCAGGGCCGACTCAGGCCCTCCATCCGGCCTGCATTTTTCCGGGTTTGATATCATTTTTTCCACTCTCCCGGCTGCTGCCGGCTGCCTCTGCCAACTTTCCACAACTATAGCCCCTCCCCCCCGACCACAGAGGAGGACAGCTTGGGGTGGGGGAAGACCCTCCTCCCCTGCCCTCCCCCAGGCTGGAGCTGGAACAGGGAAATAGTGCCATCAGTGCCTGGCTGGCAAGACGGTTGGGGTGAGGGGGATGATCACAGCTGGAGGCTATGGTTTGCCTGTGCTTTACTCTTCCTTGGCACCCTGTTCCTGGTGGCAAGGACAGGGCCCACATGGGGGGCTGAGGCATCTGGAAAGGCAGCTGTTTGGGGGCAGTGGTGTCAGGCATCAGGGACACCATGGTCTGAACTGTTTACATCTTGTTCTTCTCTCAAATTAGTGACACCCCTTCACCTTAGGCTGGAAACTCCTGACCTGACCCGAAGGCCCCATCCCCAGCAAGCCTGGATGCCTCACTACCTCCTACTTTCTGCACAGACATAGGAGGAGGCTGGGCCCTGGGGTCTAATCCTCACCCTCACTGGCTGGGTGACTCTGGGGTGTCCACATACCCTCTCTGGGCTTCAGTTCCTACATTCAGAAAAATGAATGAGTTGGATGAATTTATCTCCATCCTGGAGATAAATGAATCGATTTTCATTGAGTCTACTCCCCCTCTTTAAATTGTATGCAAAATAGTGTTTGAAAGTCCATTTCCCCAGGACTCTATAGCTTTTTGTCACATTTTCCAAGAGGACTGTGGATAAGTTGGGTGCAGACTAGTCTGACAAGTCTGGATGGGAATCCTGGCAACTTCCACTTGTAGCAGCCATAAGATCTTGAGCAGGAGCCTTCACTGTCCTGTGCCTCAGTTTTCTAGTTATTAAATAGGGGTTGTGAAATGAATAGTTGTGACAGCTTAGTACACAGTCAACTCCCACCAAACACCAGCTGTTTTATTGCCAGGATGAGCACTAAAATTCTTTCCAGATAATATTTTATGAATCTATCATCTAAAAAATGGGCTAATGAGAAAATAAGGGTTGTGTTCCACTGGGTGTCCCTCAAAGACTAGAGGCAGGGGCCGTACCCAGTGGTTGGGAGAAGGCCTGAACACACAATTGTTCCAATGATTTTATTGACTGACCCTGACACAGGTCAGCAGGTTAACCCAGTCTGTAGCCAGTGTAGATGGGAGAGTAGGAGGTGAAGACACCGGATGAACCCAAAGAAGTCTGGTCATTCAGACAGGACATCCTTCTGGTCTTTTTTTTTTTTTGAGGGGGTGGGGATAAGGGGAGGGGATGGTGTTTCTGAGGGTTGGCCAGAGCACAAGAATAAAGAAAAGTTTTACAAAAAAGATACAAACCGCGTATAAAAACCTATTTTGTGCCCAGCTTGGGCTTCCACCCCATAGTCTGTACATGGCTTCCCAGGGGTGGAGGGGTCCCTGAAGCTGTGGCTCCAGGAGATGCTCTGTAAGGACCACGACGCGCACTCCAGGTCACTGCGCCTTTGCCCCTCGGTGGTGTCGGTGGAGCACAGTGCACCCCAGTGTCCCACCACCCGTGGGAGGCGGGCGGCCTCAGAGCACGGCCAGGTTGTGGCAGGACTTGGAGCGGGCCTTGAGTGCCCGGCGCCGGGCGCTGCGGGCTGTCAGGCGTGCCAGGAATCGACGAGCTCGCTGGCCGAAGCTTGCCCGCCGTCGGGGCGCGGGGGATTCCCGGGCGGTGCTGTCGGGGCGGCGCAAGCGCAGCTGTCGCACCACACCCTCGAAGAGTTCGGCCACGTTGTGCTGCAGCGCGGCGGAAGTCTCGATAAACTTGCAGTCGAACACTACAGCGCAGGCGCGTCCCTCTGGGGGGCGGGGTCAGGAGGGCGGGTGGAGGAGGAGATAAAGGTAGGAAGGGGCGTGTTCAGTCTCAACAGGAAGCCATGTTTCCATTCCCCAAACAGTGTGCGGGGTGCCAGGGGACTCAGAATAAATCAGATCTGGCTTTGAGGACTTAGTTCACAGGCTAGTGACTGATCCTGGTGGCAGAATGAGGCTGAGAAGACAGGGCGGCTGGGATTAGGTAGGAAAAGGGCTTGAATGCCAGGTAAATGGTCCAATCTGTGCATCAGAATTATCTGGGGACAGATTCTGATTCAGTAGGTTTGGGGTGTGGTCTGGAAACCTTCATTTTAACAGAATCTCCTGGGATTATGTTGCAGAATTTGGGGATGTCTGCTCACAAAGCACATGGTCTTCCATCTCCAGGATGCTACTGGGCTGGGAGGCAGGAATCTGGGTTCTAGTCCTCAGTGGCTGGTGACCCTGTGGAATTGGTTCCACTTTCTGGTTCTCAGATACCAGAATTTTTAGATTGTTTCCTGTAAGTAGGGCCATTTTAAGATCTTTATGAGTCCCACTTGAAGTGTCAAACGTATTAAAATATTCCCCATCCCGCCCTGGCCAGTTTGGCTCAGTGGTTAGAGCGTCAGCCTGCGGTCCGGAGAGACCCGGGTTTGGTTCCCGCTAAGGGCACGTACTTCGGTTGCAGTTTGTCCCCGGCCCTGGTTGGTCATGCGGGTGGCAGCCGCTCGATGTGTCCCTTCACGTCGATGTTTCTCTCTCTCTCTCCCTTCCTCTCTCTCCCTCCCACTCTATCTGTACAAAAGATGGAAAAATATCCTCGGGTGAGGATAAAAAAAATAAAATAAAATAAAATAAAATAAAATAAAATAAAATAAAATATTCCCCATCCCACTTTAAATACAATTTATATATAATTTTAAATGTTTTGGTTTGCAGTTGCTGGATGAAACAATATCATGTTTTGTAGACAATTAAAGCTTTCTGAATTTTGAATTTATAATTTTCTCACTCTATTTTGCAGCCAATAATCGGCTTTTTCAGGTCTCAGATGTAAGCCCTTGGAAAGGCTGTAGGACTAGGCCTGTCAGGCCAGTGTCTCTGACTAAGGGCATGGGGGAACCAAAGGGGAATTTTGAAGCCAAGAAGTGACAAGGTCAGATCTGGTTCTGGGAAACGCTGGCAGCTGTTGAGGAGAACTGACTGAGTGGGGATGTGAAGTAGGGCAGGGGCTGGCCCAGGCTGAAGTGGAGATGGCAGGATGGGGCAGAAGCTATGGGAAAGGGGTGAAGAAAATGTGGAGTTAAGGGAGGTGGACCTGACAGGATTTGGGACTGGTTTGGGAGCGTGAGAGAGAAGACAGGAATGGTTCCTAGCTTTGAGGCATAGGCAAGTAGATGCAGAAGGGTCGGAGGGCAGGCAGTCACTGAGATGAAGAGCACTAGAGGAGAAACAGTGACAATGGGGCTGAAAAGAAATTGGAGAAGGAGGGTGGACCAGAGGGCTCACCTTCCACGGAGACTTCTCGGCAGCGTGCCAGATCTGCCTTGTTGCCCACCAGGATGATGGGCACATGGTCCGCCTGATGTGTGCGCCGCAGTTGAATTCGGAGCTCAGAGGCACTCTCGAAGCTGCCTCTGTCTGCGATGGAGTACACAATGACGTAGGCACTGCCCACCTTCAGGCATGACTCCTGGCTCCAGCTTTCATCCTGTAGGGGAGGAACCCCAGGCCCAGTCTGAGAAGATACCTAAGCCCTGGCTGAGAAAGGGGCTGGATGGTCTAATGGGTGGGATGGGCTAAAGTTTATACTTTGCACAGACTTGAGGGACAAATTCTACCACAATTCCCTCTTCTCCTCTCAAAGTAGTGACACCCTGATCCTCTCTGAGCCTGTTTCTCTGTTTGAAAAACTGGGCTAATGACACTACCTCACTACATTCTTTCATTCATTGGTTCCTTCTGTAGGCTGGGCACTGGAGACAAGACGAAAAATAAAATCGTTGGTTCCTCTTCCTGCCAAAGAGGGTTTGCTGTTCAGCTGTTCTGGCTTTGCCAGTTTAATGGGCTCAGTCATATTACACAGTTCTTTTGGTCTGCAGTCTTCTCAAAAGAGAAAAAAGGGAGAGAAGTGAGGACGGAGGCTGACTTCAAGGGAAGGCATTTTCAGGATGGTTTAAAGACAGAGATGAAGGAGCAACTGTGGGATGTAAGGAAAGAAGGTGGGAGTGGCATGGGCCATTTTAGAAATTGGAGGCCTTGCAAGTTGTTTGACCAGGGAAAGGAAAGAACTGGAGTGATTCTGATACTCCATTTCGGATGGTGATATGTTGTCAGGGACAGCACTAAGACTGGACCACCAGGGTAACAACTTTGTAAGTGTTTAATAAGACATGGTTCTTGCCTTCCAAAAGCTCATGGTCTGGAAGGGAGGCTGTGGAAATGGAGATTATAGTGCACTATGATAAGTACCCATATGCAAGTGGTTGGAGAAACCACGGGGTTGGGGGGCAGAAGACTTCAACCTGGCAGAATGTGGGAGGCTTCACAGTGGACCTGTGAGTGGGTTTTGAGAGGATGAGCAAGTGGAGCAGGAGAGAAGGGAGTGAGCCAGGGGTGGGAAATACTGAGTGTGGTGGAGGAACTATTTGTGAGGGGGAAAGAAGCCAGAAAAGTTATCTGATAACCAAATAAGATAAGTGATTAGGAAAGCATCAGATCCATGGTGAACATCATTGTCAAAGAGGGTGAATTTTCAATAGCCATATTGATCCTCAGGCCAGATAACTGTGGGTTGAGTCAGATGGTTGTAGGTGCTCATTCTGAGTTCTCAACTTTGACTATGGATAAGTTTCTCCCTCCCTCTGGGTCTGTTTCCTCATCTGTAGAATGAGATGGTGGGTCTTTATCATTCATTCATTCATTGCAAATATTTATGGAGGATTTGCTATATGGTTAGGATCACAAAAGCCAGTTGCTGCATGGATTGATGGGTAAGAATCTCTTGGGGATGTGATTAAAATGTAGATTCCAGAATTCCACTTATATAGGTTCTTCTTTATTAGGTCGGAGTGAGACCTGAGATTTTGATTTTTAAAACTCTCCAGGTGACCGTGATGGTCAGCTAAGCTAGGGCACTACTGAATGAGCCAAAGGTCCACCCAGTTCTGTCAGATTCTGCCTCTCTGACATCTAACCATTTAGCCCAAGGTTGGAAGGGACGGAAGCTTATTCCAACAAGGCTGCTACTACATGCACCCTGTTTGGGGACTGCCTTCACAGTCACCAGACAGGGAAATTGGTTCAGTTTCCTTATTTTACTTGTAGGAAAACCAAGGGCCAGAGAAGAGGAAACTTTCTTAAGGCTACACAGTCACCTGGGCACAGAATTCCAGTTTCTGCCTTCTAGTCCAGTACTCTTCCTCCTCCATCTCCCAAATGGGATTCCCAGGCTGATTGCTCTTTTTTGTTTTTATTCCTCACCTGAGGATACTTTTCTATTTATCATCAGATAGAGTGGGAGGGAGGGAGAGAGAAGGAGACAGAGAGAAACATCAATGTGATGGAGCTACATCAACTGGTTGCCTCCTGCACGACCCGACCAGAGCCAGGACTAACTGCATCCAAGGCACATGCCCTTGACTGAAATCGAACTTGCAACTCATTGGTCCATGGGCCAATACTCTAACCGCTAAGCCAAACTGGCCAGGACTGTGCTCCATTGATTTCTCAACTGCATCCAAAAAATAGCTCCTCCCTTACCAGCCTGTGAGCTTCATGGGGTCAGAAAACATGTCTGCCTTATTAACTGCTGGGTCTCCAGTTTGTTAAGGAACAAATGGGTGAAGGAGTGGAACCTCAGCTGGAGGTTCAGAAGGTGATGCTCCCAGGTGGGGATGAAGGGGCTATCCTAGTGTATAAAAGTAAAGGATCTGGGTTCTTACAGATCTGGGTTTGAATCTCATTTGCTGAAAACTTTGGACAATGGGGTAAAAAGGTAAAATATCTGTAACAAAAAAATAAATAAAAATTCATTAAAAAAAAATTAAGAAAGAAAACTTTGGACACATTACTTAACCTCTCTGAGCTTCGGTTTCCTCATCACAGAATAGGAATCAGAAGAACAATCACTGTATAGTTTTTGTCTTGACTGAATGTCATAGTATATGTCCAGTGCTTAACACAAGGGCTGACACTTAGGAAGAAGATGCTTCATAAATGTCATCTGCTGCTAAGAGAAGCATCATTATCATCATTATGTTCATTTGGACCTGGATTTTCTTTTATGCTTATTAAAAAGAATTCGCTTCAGCTCCTTCATCCCTAGCTTTTGGGTCTGTCACCGGAGTTATCAGCCGTTTTTGTCAATCACTCAACACTGCCCTCCTAAATCCTCCTGTGGCCAGGACCTCCCTTTGTTTTAGGGGAGGGACCTACTCCTTAGAGAGATGGAATCTCAGGTGTTTTTAAGATCCTTCTCTTTGCTTAGTTATATTTCTTCAAAGTTCTATAGTGATGATTTATTACTTGTACAGCAAGAAGAAAAGAAAACTCAAACAAGACAAGAAAAACATAATAGGGACATGTCCCTGCCTGGTGCTCTCTTCCTGCCCAGGAAGGGGCTAGGGAAGGACACCCTTTGGTTTCCTTTTCTACTAACTATCAAGTTACAATGAATAAGAATTGTCATTATTTACAATCCTTCACCCATGTTCAGCATTTTTTCATGCTCCAAACTGTGTTCAACTCTGAAATTGCATAAGAATTTAAAAAACAAAACCAAAAAACAGTTGGTAAGGAAGGCAGGAATGATCGACCTATTTATCAGGTGAGAAAACTGAAGCTCAGACCAGGTAAATCAACTGCACAAAGCCACACAGCTGGTAAGTAAAAGAAAGGGGGTTCAACCTCAGGGTTCAACACTGGAGTAAAATTCAGTGTTCCGTCCTCTGCACAACTAGGTGGGTGGAGTGGGAGGAGGGTGTAAATAAGATGGGAAGGCTTGCAGGGGAAGAAGCACATCCTGGGATGGCTGTGGACAGGGGACCAGTGGAGTGAGAAAAGGGGGTGAAGGTCATGAGGTTCTGTCTTGGTTGGAAAGGCTGCTTAGGAGCTATGGGTTTTGGAGCGATCTGTACTAGGCTCAGCGTCCGTGCCCCCAAACCCTGCTTGCTGTGCCATACCAATTTCTCAGCCTCCCAGGTGTCCATCACCAACAGCGTGGTGTCTTCTCCATCCACTGTGAGGGTCCTCTCGTACACATCTTCTGTAATGGAGGGAAGAGCTGGATGTCAGGGAGGAAGGGTCAGCTTAAGGAAGGTGTGGGCTTCCCTAGCCCCTCTTTATGGTTAGTGCATCGCCTCTACTTTTCCTTGAAGTGTTCACCCCATGTGTGTGATGTCTGTTTCTCCTGATAGGTAAAAGGTAAAAGCTCAGGTCTCCCCAGCTGCCAGCATAGTACGTGGCACACCATAGGTACTAAGAAAGCTTCTGTTTTTTCGGTTGATTGAATGAATGCAGAGTGGTGGAGTTAAAGTTGTGCAGGGACAGTCCTGCTCTGTCCCTGGCTTAGTGTACTTCACACAAGTCATGTTACCATCTCTGGGCCTCAGACTCCCCATACGTCACACTTACAGGTGCACATATGCACACCTCTCATATGGGTTCTCACTCTTAGAGAGGCCAAGCCTGGAGAAGGGGCCTGGCTAGAGTGTACCCACCTCTCTGCTTTAAACCAACTCCGCACTCCATTCACTCAATGTCCTCTCAGCCAGTCTTGCAAAAACCCATCATCATTTCCCCTGTCCTGTCTCTGTGCCCCATCATCCTAGGGCCCCACGAACTCTCAGCTCACTGCATCTCTTGGGAATAGAGGAACCCAGGACCCAGAACTTGGAATCTGAGAGTCTCCATTTTGGGCAGGATCTTAGTTTTGCTTCAGGTCGTGGTAGCCAGGGGCTGTTGTCTATGGAGCTGGGATGATTCGAGTCAGGGGGAAAGCTGAGCTGCGTGGAAGCCTACCATTTCTTTACACTTGAGACTGAATCCCATACCTCTCACCCATCAAAACTGGCAAAATTCCCACTATTCAAGGAATTTCTTTTCCACAGACTGTTGTGCAGGCTGTACCCTTAACAACTCTTGGGGGAGGGGGGCATATTCACTTCATAGTCTACGAGAATGATGCCTCTTTGAGTTGAGCAGTGCCTGAGTTGTACAACTGTTCTTGGCAGTCTTGTGCCCCTCATGATAGGGCTTTCACTCCTTTGGCCACATTCCAGCCCAGCCCACAGGGTCCCTACCTCCCAGCTGTTCATGAAGCTCCCGCTCTTGCTTCCCTGCAAAGAGGCTGGCCAGGCTGGTCTTCCCCACGCCAGGATCTCCAAGCAGTACCACGCGGTAGAGGGCCTCCCAGGAGCCTTCAGAGTCGCTGGATTCAGAGGACCAACTGTTGGGGGCAGGGGAAGGTTGCTGGGTGGGAGGGTTGAGGGAGGCTGACTGGCCCAGCCGTGGATGCTGGGGCTGTGTGGAAGTGGAAGGTGCTGTGCACAGGCCAGGCTGGTGGCCCCGGGAGGACAGGGGCAGTGGAGTGCTGGCTCGGCGACGCAGGGGGGTTTTTGCTTCTTGCTGGGAGTTTAGTGTCATCCTTGGGAGGGGGACTTTGCTCCTTCCTTCCTTCCTTCCTTTCTTCTTTCTGTGAGCAAGAAGGGGGAATGGGCGGTGAGCCAGGTGCTTTGAGCCCCTTCTTCTGTAGGGTCCTGATGAGTTGCTGAGATAGCTTGCTCCAGAGGCCTCTTGTTCAAATGGGGGGAGGAAGTGCCTCAGCTCCTTGGGGTGGGGACTTTCTGGCTTCAGGCCCAGGGTCTACCTGGTCAGGCTGGGAGGGTGAGTGCGTAAGCTATGAACACACACATGCATGCACACCCAGAGGCCCGTTCCGGTGCCTTCAGGATGACCCACTCCCCCCAGACACACAGACAGGCAGCAGCGATGTGGGATGTCCACACAAGTACGCACACACTTGTGTACACAGACCAGCCTCTCCCATTCAGAACATGAAACCCGGTTTTAAAAGGCATCTGAATTACCTCGTACTCCCCTTCCCCACGGTTGGGAGATTGGGGGTATGGTGGAAAGTTAAGGGCCCCTGGGGTGGGGGGTCACTTCCTCTGCCCCCTCAAGAGGGCTGATGAAGAAACAGGAAGGGGTGGGTTGGAATCTGTAAGGGCACGGGGTCTGGGGGTTCCCTTCGCGGTAACCCGAGCGCCCTGGTGCCATGGGAACAGCGTGTCCGGCCCGCCTCCTACGTGAAAAATTCAGCAGCGGCTGGCACTACCTCCTGTGGCTGTTGGGGGGCGGGGGCTTCGAGGCAGCCGGGCTAGGTTTGGTGACAGGACAGGGTCCTGGCAGGCGGCGGGGAGGCGACCTACGAGGCCCCGGGAGCGTGTGCCATTCCCGGAGTCAGAGTCCGAACTTGCCCAGCCCGGGGTCCTGGTTGTGAGTTCCCTGATCCGGGCGGATTTCTTGTCCGGGGCTACGCAACCCTCCGTGCCCCAGTTGGAAGGACCCTCACCCCTGGGATGCGAGCTCGAGGCCCCCCTCGCCCTGCCTGCGTCGCAGAATCCCCATGCATGCGCCAGGCGAACTCCGCTCCAACTTGACTAAGTTGGCGGCGGGCTGCGCGGGCCTTTACCTCGACGTGGGGAGGAGTCCAGGGTCCAGGGTCCCCGGCCCTGAGCCGCCGGGTGCTCCAGGCTGTACCACCGCCACCGCGCGCAGCCCCTCCGGCCGGTCCCGCCCCGCCGCCCCAGCGGAGGAGGAGCCGCGACCCCGCCCCGTCCAGCCCCGCCCCAGCAGGGCTGCCCCGGGGTCCCCGCCCCAAGGCCTTGGCTGCTAAATGACTTCACGCAGGGGTCAGCTGACCCGCCCCCTGATGTCCTTTGTCTAGGGTGGGAGTGGCAGTGTCGGGGTGGGGGGCAGAGAGAGGGAGGAAGGGGCTTTGAATTCCGCGGTCTGGATCTCCTGTGCATGCACATCTATCCACTCTAGCAATGGGGCGCACCCACGAACAAACTTGGTCCTTACAAAACCACCTGGGGAGCTTGCTGAATGTTCAGAATCCCAGGTCGGACCCTCCGTGAGAGGTGGATTCAGCAGTCCTGTGAAGGGTTCGGGGATCTGTTTAAAACAAGTGTCCAAGTATCCTGATGCAGAGTTCGTGGACTCCACTTCCAGAAACTGCTGTGAATGGGTGAAGGATTAATTTTGGGAGGTGACTTGAAGGGAGGAGGGGAGTCCAGGGAGTCTGCACTAAAGAGTTCTGAATATTTATTTATTTCTTTAATCCTCACCCGAGGACATATTTTCATTTTTTGTTCAGATAGAGTGGGAGGGAGAGAGAGAGAAAAACATGACATGAAAGGGACACATTGAGTGGCTGCCTCCCGCACGACCCAGCCAGGGTCGGGGATAAACTGCAACCGAGGTCCATGCCCTTAGTGGGAACTGAGCCTGGGTCTCTCTGGACCGCAGGCCAATGCTCTAACCTTGAGCCAAACCCGCCAGGGCCTGAACATTTATTTTGATATCATTCACCAAATTCTAGGTTAAGCATTCATTGCGCTGCTAGAGCTGTCCTGTGCCTGGAAGAATGGATGTCCATTCTTTGATGAATATTTATTGAGCATTTGTGCTGTGTCTGGTATGGTCAGAACACTTTGCCTGGATTAGTAACTCTTTTTTTAAAAAAAATTTAATTTGTTTTTGTTACAGATGTTTCTCATTTTTCCCCCATTGACACCCTCTTCCCCTTCCCCCGCACCCCATCCCCAGCTTTGTTGTCTATGTTCATTGGTCATGCACACATGCATGTAAGTTCTGTCGTTTATCTCTCCCCCCTACCCCCCTCCTCTGAGACTTGTCAGTCTGTACCTCACCGCTATATCTCTCGGTTAATTTTGTTCAGCAGTTTGTTTAGTTCATTATATTCCACAAATAAGTGAGATCATGTGATATTTGTCTTTCTTCTTGGCTTGTTTCGCTTAGCATAATACTCTCCAGATCCTTCCATGCCATCTCAAAGGATAAGAGATCTTTCTTTCTTACAGCTGCATAGTATTCCATTGTGTACATGTACCACAGATTTTTTTATACACTCATCTACTGATGGACACTTGGATTGTTTCCAGATCTTAGCTATTGTAAATAGTGCTGCTATGAACATAGGGGTACATATAATCTTTCTGATTGGTGTTTCAGGCTTCTTGGGGTATATTCCTAGAAGTGGGACCACGGGGTCAAATGGCAGTTCAATTTTTAATTTTTTGAGGTAACATTGTAGTGTTTTCTACAGTGGCTACACCAGTCTGCATTCCCACCAGCAGTGTACTAGAGTCCCCTTTTCTCCACACCCTCGCCAATACATGTTGTTTGATGATTTGTTGATGGCGGTCATTCTGACAAGTGTGAGGTGATACCTCATAGTTGTTTTAATTTACATCTCTCTGATGATTAGTGATGTTGAGCATTTCTTCATACGTCTCTTGGTCATTTGTATGTCCTTTTTGGAGAGGTGTCTATTTAGGTCCTCTGCCCATTTTTAATTGGGTTCTTTGTCTTCCTTATGTTGAGTTGTATGAGCACTCTACATATTTTGGAAATTAACCCCTTATCTGATGCATCATTGGCGATTACGGTCTCCCATATAGTGGGATCCCTTTCCATTTTGATGGTTGTTTCTTTGCTGTGCAGACGTTTTTAGTTTGATGTAGTCCCCTGTGTTCATTTTTTCCTTTGTTTCTCTTGCCTTAGGTGTTGTTAATAGCTCATTTAATCCCGATACAACACAAGGATGAACAAACCAAGGTTTACCGTCACCTGAGGCTCTGGGTCTCTGCCTCTCAGCCTACTGTTCCTTTCTGTCACAGTCCATGGCTTTAAAAAAAATTTTTTTTATTTTCCCAGGCATGTAGGAGGAGGAAAGAGACACTGTGATCTTGGCTATAGAAGAGAAGTCAGCTGTAGGGCACTGGTGAGTTTGGCCATTCGTGGGGCCAGGATCCAAGCTCTTGAGGAGAGTTCTTCTGTGTAGGTCATGAGGAACTGGAGCGGGTAAGTCTGTAAGGCCCATGGAGACCGGTTGTAGCTGTGGGTGGGGCTCATTGTCATGGCTGAGGGAGTCCAAGTGTCAAGCTCAGACTAGCGGAACCCCTTCACGCCTGGCTTCCTCTGTGGATTGGCCCTCTGAGCTTCCCTTCCCCACCTACAAGATGGACTGAGTGGTGCAGTGTCATATATTGCCTGGGAGTGAGGCAAGTTCGTTTAAGTCCCAACTCTGAACTCAACTGCTGAATGTCTTTAGGCAAGTCATTTCTGTTCTTTGGATTTTAGTTTCTTAATTTAAAGCTGAAATCTGCAAATACTTGGTGATGGAAGATGATTTGACTTTGGGTGGTGGACACAGTGCGATATACAGGTCATGTATCATAGACATGTACATTTGAAGCCTATATGATCGTATTAACCAATGTCACTCCAATACATGTAATACAAATAAAATAAAGGGAAAAGTTAAACTGAAATCTAAACAGGTTACACCCTTTCTACAAATCTTACAGCTGTCTACAATACAAAAGACTGAAACATTTAAGGCCCATTGTGAATAAAAGCAGAGCAAGCCCTGGCCAATTTGGCTCAGCAGTTAGAGCATTGGCCTGTGGACCAATGAGTTGCAGGTTGGATTCCAGTCAAGGGCATGTACCTTGGTTGTGGTTGGTCCCTGGCTCTGGTCGAGTTGTATGGGAGGCAATCAGTCAGTCGATGTGGCTCTATCACATTGATGTTTCTCTCTGTCTCTCTCTCTCTTCCCCTCCCACTCTATCTGATGATAAATAGAAAATTATCCTCCAGTGAGGAATTAAAATAAATAAATAAAAGCAGAGCAAGAGGTCAGGGTTGTGGGTGCATGTAGGGTGGTGGGAGAACTGAAAGGTCGCTGATAAATTTTCAAAAAATTTTAAATTTCAAATGTACATGAAAGTGAGAGAATAATATAAGGAACAAGGTGAGCTTTTAAAAAACTTTTTATTGTGGAAAAATGTGAACATGCAAAAATACAGAATAATGTGATGATGGGAGTTTTAAAAAGAAACTGTCTCTGCAGGGTAATTTCCAATCTCCTCCCAACAAAGTCCCTGCTCTGGCCATGCCCCCCACTTTCAGGCACATTCTGTTTCTCTGCTTGGAATACTTTCCTCTACTCATCTTTCAAGATGCAACTCAGATGCCTGTGTGCCAAACACTATTCTAATCCCTGTACATACATGATGTTAGTGGTCCTCAAACTTTAGTGGTATGTCAGAATCAGCGGGAAGGCTTCTTAAACCACAGCTTGCTGGGGCCCACTCCTGAGCTTTTGATTCAGCAGGGTTGGGTAGAGCTTGAGAATTTTCATTTTTAATAAGCCCCAGCTATTTATTGCTGCTGTTTGCTGGTCTGGGGACCATACTTTGCATTACTTTGCTTAATCTTCTAAATGAGCTGGGTAACCATTACTCTCTGTTTGGAGGGTACTATTACTCTTCTCATTTCCTCTGTAATCTTAAATACATGCTGTTTGAACAACAGGTCAGTGGGTTTTGGTTTCATCTCCTTGATATTAGGAAGGGAATCCTCCATGTATTTAGCTTTGCAAGGGGGACTTGTCACATTTCCTAGATGACAGCCTGGGGCTCAGAGAGGCTAAGTGACTTGTCCAAGGTATTACTGCGATTAGAGGGAGTTGCTGGCTTTGAAGCAGTTCTCTCTGAAGCCACGGCTTTCCCCACCCTCCCAGGTGGGAAGCTGTCCAGTTTCTGACCCCAGGCACTGTTTCAGGAAATGCTGTCCCCAGTTTCAGACCTCAGCAACGTCCGGAGGGTGTGTCCAACCAGTTCCCCACGTAGCTGGCTGAGATCCAGCTACATCCCTGAGACCACAAGGCCCCAGACTCCCACTTAAGTCTCCTGCTGCCCACACTCCTGCCTTGATCTGCAGCTCAATAAATGCTAGGCCCCAGACCCCAGGGCTTGACATGCCTGGCTCCTCTCCTCTTGCGTTCTCTCCCCAGTGGCCTCCCAGGAGCTCTGTGGCCATGACACAGCTGCTTCTGTTCATTGTGTCTCTCCTAGTCCTGGGTCATGTGCCACCAGGTAACATCACCTCTGTGTGTGTGTGTGTGTGTATATAGAAACAAGGAATAGGCTCTCAGCTCCTGGAGGACAGAGGTGGCCTAGACCAGTGTTTAAATTCTGGTCCCATCACTGGCTTTCTGAGTAGCTTAGAGAGCTGCTAGCTCAGCCTGAACCTTAGTTTCCTACTCTTTAAAATGGGATTCACTCCAAAAATGTTCATTTGAAAAATATTTACTGTGTGCTGGGGCATGATCACAATTGTTGGGGATCCAGTAGTGAAAGAAAATGAGGTCCTTGCTTTCATGGAGTTGACATTTTAGTCAGTGGAAACAGAAAATGAGCAAATAGATGTATAATATTTCAGATGGTCATAGTGTAAGGAGAATAAAAGCAGGGCAAGGGGTTGGTGTGGTGTGGTGGGGTACGGTGGGGTGGGGTGGGGGGTGGAAGAGCTGAAAGGCCTCTGATAAGTTTTTTATTTAAATTTTTATTTCAAATGTACATGAAAGTAGGTAGAATAACATAAGGAACAAGGTGAGTTTTAAAAACCTTTTTATTATGGAAAAATGTAAACATGCAAAAATAGAGAATAATGTAATGATGTAAGTTTTAAAAGGAACCTTTTTATTTGAGAAAAATTTCATACCTAAAGAAAAAATATGGTATAGAAAACTCCCCTGCATCCATTACCCAACCTCAACAATGGTCAACGTGAACCAATTCTGTTTTGTTATTCACTTGCCCCTTGTCCCCAGTGAACTATTTTGAAGTAAATCTCAGCTATGTTATCATTTTTTACAAGGTAGATTTGAGCAAAGATCTGACTACAGTGAGAAGGCAGCAGGTTCCTGATTAATGTCGTTTGGTTATAAGGATGATAAGATGCTCTAGGAACTTAAGTCTTGAATATATCAATTAGCCTGTGGTAAAATTGGCTTCTTCATACATTTTGTTTAAACTCACAGAATGTATTGACCATGTTAAGCGAAGTCTTACTATATAAGGACGATCATTCCAGGCAGAGGAAACAGCAAAGATGAAGGAGGCAGGAGGGTGCTAGATAGATAGAAAGATGATAGATAGATAGATAGATAGATAGATAGATAGACAGACAGACAGACAGACATGTTTCAGGAGCAGCGAGGAGGCCAATGTGGCTGGAGTGAGGAGCACAAGAAAATAAGTGGAGGGAGATGAACTCAAAGATTTGAGGAAGGGATAGCAGATCAAGTAGGAGAAAATACCTTCTGTATCTCAGGGTTGTTGGAAGGTTGAAATGTGATGATATGTTAAGAGTAGTTATTGTAGGAACTACCTTTGCTTGGAAGTCAGGGTCTTGGGTTCTGGTTCCAGACTCATCACTTATGATGTCGGAAAAGTTGGGCAAGTCCCTGCCTTTCTTTATCCAGAAAATGAGAGGGTTGGCCTAGAATGAGCCCTGGTTGCTTCAACCCTCTAAGCTGTCAGTCTGATAAACTCACTTGCCATTTACTGAGTATTTACAACCTGCCAACCACTGTGCTAAAGTGTTTAAATCTCCTCTAACTGCTCTCTGAAAGACAGCTGTACAGACGAGGAACCCGGGGCCCAGGCCACTCGGCTGGGAAATGGCAGAGCTGGAATTCAGACCCAGATTAACTCGGTGTACACCACGTTAATCATTACACCGTACACTCTTCAGAGTGTGGACTCTGCCTCATAGAGGTTTTGAGATCAGCTCTGTGTCGTAATATTCTCTACCTTAGAAAGATGAAAGGATGGGCTGGTTGACAGGGCTGAATAACACCCATGGGTATCATGTAAAGATTCGGTGGAATCCCTTACAGTCCAGGGAGAGGTACTCCCCTCCCCCCTTTCAGCCCCAGTTCTCCTGAGTTGCTGGGCCATATGTCTAGAAATATTGCTGTAACAATCAGGCCTAAGTGGTCCTCTTCTCTCCTCACTTTCCCACGACTGCCCTAATTGGTAATCACAGCACCCTGACCATTCCCTTCAAGGCACTTACCACAACTATGCTGTCAGTGCCTTATGTTTGCTGAATGAATAAATGGAGAAGCCTCCCCCCCATGCTGTGACTAAAGACTCTTGGAGGGGGTACAGGACCTAGTTCCCCAAAGCCTTACAATTTTTTGTGGTTCATAGTTGGAAATGTCTTCGCTAAATTTTAATATTAAACAGGTAGGTAAGTGTGTGAGGCAGTTAGTATAAAGGTTCTGAGTGTGGACTCTGGAGCCAGATAGCCTGGGTTTGAATCCCAGCTCAGCTCCTTAAATGGCTATGTGACCTTGGGAAAAGTCATTAATCTTTCTGTGCCTCAGTTCCCTTAACTGTATAACAGGGATTATAATAACACCAACTATAATAATATAGTGTTGTTATGAAAAGTGCTTAGAGTGTACCTGGGGTGTGGATTAACTTGGACGAGAAATTGGTCTCTAACTTATAACCAGTGGTCTAACTTGTGACCTGTGGGCTAACCTGAACTGAGATTTGTGGTCTAAATTGCAGCTGGTTGTCTCTGGTGGTGTAGCCTGTTACCTCTAGTCTAACCTTGACCTGTGGTCAGAGCTCATGTCCTGTGTCCTAACTTACGACCTGTGGGCTGCTCTGTGACCAGTCATCTAACAAATGACCAGAAAGCAAAGTAGTAACTTATGATCTAACCTGGGCCCTGTGGACTAACTTGTGGTCAGTGGTCTAACCTGTGACCTGTGGTCTCACCCTTGGTCTGTGGTTAAATCTGTAGCTAGTTGTCTCAGGTGGAACCCATGGGCTGCTCTGTGTCTTGTGCTCCAACAAAAGACCAGAGGATTAACCTATGGTCAGTTGTTTAACCTGTGACCTGCAGCCTCACCCTTGATCTGTGATTAAACCTGTTAACAGTGGATTGACCTGTGACCCCTGACTATTCTGTGACCTGTGGTGTTCCTCTGCATAGGGAGAAGTGAATTCAAACGGTGCTGGAATGGCCAAGGAGCCTGCCGGACTTACTGCACAAGGCAAGAAACCTACATGCAACTGTGCCCAGATGCCTCTCTGTGCTGTCTCCCCTATGGATTCAAGCCTGCAGTGCCCTTTAAGCCAGAGCAGGTGTAGCTGGTTCTGGGACTGGCACACTTGCTCTTCAATAAAATACATGCTGTTAGTTGTCACCACTTGCTGTTTGCTCACCACCCCTCCATCCCTGCCTCTCCCAGGGCTGGGGAGGGGAGAAGGGGGAGGTCCATGGTGTGGGGGAGATGGAGGGATGGTTGGAGGAGGGAGTGAAGTGACTGAGGAGAGTGGGCATTAATGACCATTGGAAATGATCCCAGTCCTGCCTGATCACTTTTGCTTTGTCCAACTCTAGAAAAATTGCTCAATTTCTGCCAGCCTCCCCTGTCTCCTCATCCGTAAAATGGGGATAATCATAATATCAGGAGATTAGGATATTATGGAAAGAATGCAAAACAGAAGGTAGAGTTAATAATAGGAGTTAATTATAATCATGAGAATTAATAATACTAATGAATTAACTATAATAAGAACTAATAGCAATAGAGTTAAAGCCACATCTCTGGCGTTCACAATGAGATGGTGCATTGGGCTTCAAAGGCAGACTCCTGAGAGTGGAAGGATTTTCCCATGTTCCTTTATCTCCTGTTTTAGCATTTTAAGAGCCTGCCCAAGTGGAAAAAAGGATTTTATGAAAGAGAAGTTTTCATATAAACAGGGAGGAGAAATAGAGGAAAACTCTGCTTCTTCTAGACCCAAGGAACTGTGGGGACAGCAAGTCAGGGAGAAACCATGAGGTAGGTAGACACATGTGTTCTAATTGCCCTGTGTCAGGATTACATTTGGCTGAAAAAACAGGAAACTCAATTTTCAGGAACTTATTTTTTTCAGGTAAAAAAATCTGGAGGAGGTGCCATGGTAGGATGGCTCAGTTGGTTGGAGCATCATCCCATGCACCAAAAGGTTGCAGGTTCCATTCCCAGTCAGGGCACATACCTAGGTTGCTGGTTTGATCCCCAGTTGGGGTGTGTAGGGAGGCAACCTATCGATGTTTCTCGCTCTTCTCTCTCTCTAAAACAAATCCTTGGGTGGGGATTTAAAAAAAAGAATCTGGAGGTAAGTAGCAACCATGTCAGGACAAGCATCTCTGGGGTCCTCTTGCGTTACATAACTTCAGGCCTCATGTCATTGTTTTTTTTTTTTTTATCCTCACCCGAGGACATTTTTCCATTTTTTTTTTTTGTTCAGGTAGAGTGGGAGGGAGAGAGAGGAACAGAGAGAGAGAGAGAGAAACATCGATGTGTTCTTTTCACATCGAGTGGCTGCCACCCTCATGACCGACCAGTGCCGGGGACAAACTGCAACCGAGGTACGTGCCCTTAGCGGGAACCGAACCCAGGTCTCTCAGGACCGCAGGCTGACGCTCTAACTGCTGAGCCAAACCGGCCAGGGCTCATGTCATTGTTTAAAGCAAGAAGGGGGGAGGGGAGGGTTGGCTGGCACGGGCTCGTTCTTCACTTTTATCAGGAAAGCAAAAACTTGCCCTGGAAGCTCCCTCAGCTTACTTTTCAAGGGCCAGACCGTGTCACATGGCTGCTCCTGATGTAGGGAAGGCTGGGAAAGAAAGCATTGAGCTGTTCTAGCCTCTATCATAGACTTGAGCTTGGGAGGAAGGGAGTTGAGAGACCCTCAGTGTTCTCCTGGGATTGAGCCCAGAAAGAGGCAGGTGTGAGGGATGAACTGAGAGGAACTCCAAGGGCAGAGGGGCTCTTGTCTACTGTCCTTTGAGACTTTTCAGAAAAGTCTGGGGTAGATGTGGAGTAAGAGAATGGACCCTGCATGACCAGGCTTAGTAAGGGGTGGTGAGGTTCAAAATACTTCAGAAAGGATGCTGAGCCTGAGGCTGGAGCAGTCTTGAAGGTGACCTACAAGTTAACCCTTTAGTTTCTGTTATGAGAATGACCTGGGGATATGCCAGCAGCAGCTGGAGTGGAGGACGGGAGACCCGAGGGGCTTGAGCCACAGCTCTTTCCCAGCCCAGAGGAAAGCACTCAATTAGTTTAACAACAAAGTTGTCGCCTGCATATCAGTCTTGCTTTTGAACCTCCGTTAGATCCTGAACAGGGGTGTAGATGTTGAACTGTAAGCCAGGGAGCCTGCTTTAGGACCCAACCTGGTGGGGCCAGGGTGGTCAAGGCATCCGGAGCCTAGAAACAGGACAAGATAAGAACCCCAAAGATGACCACAGAACCACAGAGAGCTGACATGAAGTGACGTTAGCCTGCCACCTCCACTAAGCCTCAATGAGTCCAAAGGAGGCTACACCAGTTCACTAACAACCAGCCATAGCTGAAAGCCAGTGACAGGCCCAAGCCACCCAGATCCCAGCAGATGCCAGCTGCTCCTCAACATTGAATCTTCCCACACTGATCCCAGCCTTCATATTGAGAGGAGCAGGGGGACTAGAGGAGGAATCTGAAAGAGAACAATTACACCAGAGACCACGTCTCTCTGAAGAAATCTCAAGAGAATATCTAAATTGTTGAATTAGTCCAAGTTTTCAACTGGATTGAACTAAATTTAGCTCTGCACTCTGACCTCTCCCCTCTCTTAGGTTTTCTTCACACAGTTTCAGATGTAGTTTGAGGGAATTTGTGACCTTGTTGCAGGGAAGATGATGATGATTTCTGGGAGTGAGGATTTAGATGGACTCAAGTTCAGATTCCAGCTCTGCCACTTACAGGCCATAAGACGTGTGATGGGGCAAGTCACTTCCCGTGTCTGTCAGGATTCTTCTCTGCAAAATGGGCACGATGACAGCTCTCAATGGGGTAGCTGTGGGGTCAGATGAGATCATCTGGCACTTTGTAAGTGCTCAGTAAACGAAATGCTTCAACTGCTACCACTTCTGCTGAGCAAGAGGCATGCCACTAGCCTTCTTCACGTAATTTCAGACTTTCAGAAAGTCTGTAAGAATAGTACACAAGAATTCCCATAGACCCTTCACCCAGTGTTTTCAAATGTTGACATGATAGTAACATATATTACAGACATGATCCCTTCATACCTAAATACTTCAGTAGGTTTTTCCTAAAAAACAAAGGCATTTTCTTATATAACCACAGTGTAATTATAAAAATTAGGACATTAACAATGATAAAATTATATTGTCTAATCTTCAGACCTTTTTCAGATTTTACCAGCTGTTCCAAAGAAGTCCTCTACAGCAAAACAAAACCTCTGGGTCAAGCTTCACATTCAGTGGTCACATTTCTTTGATCTCTTTTACTCTTAAAGCGTTCTTCAGTCTTTCGTGACATCAACATTTGTGAGGAGTCCAGTTCAGTGATTTGTGGACTGTCCCCCAGTTTGAGTTTGTCTGATGTTTCCTTGTTATTGGATTCGGTTTATGCATTTTTGGTGGGAGGAGTGGTGATGGAAGGAGACTTGACTTGGGGTGGTGAGCACATTAAAAAATATGTAGCCCTGGCCAGTTTGGCTCAGCGGTTAGAGCGTCGGCCTGCGGTCCAGAGAGACCCGGGTTCGGTTCCCGCTAAGGGCACGTACTTCGGTTGCAGTTTGTCCCCGGCCCTGGTTGGTCGTGCGGGTGGCAGCCACTCGATGTGTCCCTTCACGTCGATGTTTCTCTCTCTCTCTCTCTCTCTCTCTCTCTCTCTCTCTCCCTCCCACTCTATCTGTACAAAAAATGGAAAAATATCCTCGGGTGAGGATAAAAAAAAAAAATATGTAAATGTATTTTTTCTTCCTTATGATTTCATTAATAGCATTTTTTTTATAGTTTACTGTAGGAATACAGTATATAATAATATAACATACTCAAAATGTGTTAATCAACAGTTTATGTTGTTAGGAATTCTGGTCAACAATAGGTTAGTAGTTAATTTTGGGGGGAGTCAAAAGTTATACATGAGTTTTTAATTGAAATATATATATTTCAGGTATATATATATTTTTAGGTATATATATTTCAGGTATATTTATATATTGTAAACTTACAAACTAGTGTGTATGTATAATATATCTATATGGATATAGGTATCTATCTATATAGATAGATTATATATCTCTATAGACATTATATATATATAAAATCTATATACGTATGTATGTATTTTTCACATGCATTGAGATTCTTCTGTTAGAGTAGAGATTAGCAGAGTTTCTCATTCTGCTGATCAGGTGGATCCCTTTGGGTTTACAAGAAAAGAACAAGGGGGTTACAACAATGGCTGTTGTAGGAGGTTCAGGGTAAGATATGGTGACTCCTCACTCCCTTCCCCCCTGGGTTTTCGATGGGAGAGTGTTGAAAGGAACCGTTTATTGTACTAGGGCTATATTTATGTTTGAGAGCCAGGCAATAATCACATATGGCTCAAATTACCCTTGAAAATTGCTCAGGAATGTGCCTTTATGGAGACTGACATGCAAGCTTCTTCCGTCAATGGAACACATTAAAGCAAAGGAACTGATTGGTTATATTTAGGGGCCATTTTTATGAAAAGTAAATATCTCTCCACAGTGGAATCACATGATACAGTGTGATGCCTTCATTGCCAGGTGCTTTTGCTGCAACAGGAACTGATACAATTCTCATCTCCACTCACTCAGGCACTGGCTCAAGGAGGGATTCCTTTGGCTTATTTGGACTGTTATTGCTCATATTTGCAATATCTATATATCTATATATATATATATATCTATATATCTGACAAAGGAGATATATATATATATATCTGACAAAGGAGATATATATATATCTGACAAAGGAGATATATCTATATATCTGACAAAGGACTCATTTCCAGACTGTATAGAGAGCTCTTATAATAAGCAAGAAAAGGTCAATTTAATAATAGAGTGGACAGATATTTAAACAGATTTTTTTTTGCAAAATAAGGTATATTAGTAGCAAATAAGCCTATGAAAAGATTCTCAAAATCATTAGTCTTCAGGGAAGTGCAAATTAAAACCACAATGGGATACAATCACATACCTACCAGAATGATTAAAACAAAAAAAGGCTGACCT